ATAGGAATAACTTGGCTCTGATACCAACTTTGAGCACGTCAAGCAGAATGGGATTAACAAAACATAACAAGCAAAATAACAGAATGATACTAACAGAACATAACAAATAAAATAACAGATTAAGATAAACACATCAACTTATAAATAAAAAGTATTGGAATACTTACATAAAATCAGATACACCAGCACACTCTAAAACTTTTACAATCTTTTTGGAGAAAGAGAGAGAATAGAGAGTAGTAAAGAAGGCCAATAAAACTTCAAACTTAAACACACTCTGAGAGATGCCTTCTTCAAAGGAGAAGTCCTCTATTTATCATCTCGGACTTTAAATTTTATTCATCCAAGTTTTCTTAAACGTCGATGTCGGTCCATTGATTTCCTGCCACGCAGAAAGAAGAGGGTAGTGGATGTCGGTGGTACTTGCTACGTGGAAAGGTAGGAATAGTGACAGATGGTGTTGGTGGCAGCATCTTAGTGGGGACGTCTATCCTTTGGTGTGACAAAAAGGTGTCGGCAACATCTTTGTAGGGATACCTATCTTTTGTCTACAGGATTAGTGGGCCTCGTGTCCTTGATAGAGTGGAGTCGGGCCGACCCAATAGGCTGCCTTATGTTTGATGGATCGGGGCTAGAATCCCCGAACTGTCATCACCGTTCAGGTTTCCTTCTTCTTTACTGACTGACATTGAGTCTTCTTCGAACATTGATAATAGTTTTCTTTAGACAAGTTTGGAGTTTCAGTCTATAAAAGCCTTAAATATGAGGCTGTACCAGTTGGCTGGTTAAGTCCAGGTGTATTGACTTTAATTTTGACAATTTTAATGGTTTCGGGAACTAAGTCTTTAATATCAAAACTGTCCCACCATTTTATTTGTATTATTCATTCAATATGGGGGATATAATTCCAATTTTCATCATCTTCAGTAACAGTATAAGACTATCTGAGGATCCAAGGGATCTCATATAAGATGATAAATTGGACTAAGGTCTCCATTTTAGACCAATTTCTATTAGCTGCTTCAAATTTTGACAGCGAGCATCGTAATTGTTTGGGATAAATATCTAGGTCAGGTCTCCAGTATAACATCCATTTTTTAACCATGTGGGTAATTCATTTATGGCTTCATTATGCCTGAAACAGATAAACCAACTGTGAGTATTTTTCTTGTTTTGGACTATCAGAACCTTTTCCCAGGCTTCGACGTAGTCATAATAATTATAGCTCTTGATTTTAGAGCGTATTTCAAAAATACCTTGGTGTAAGAGAATCAAAGCCCTAATCTTTATAGTCCAATATTCTTTTTATTTGAATTTTTGAGTAGGCCACAATGTCATGCCCTCTACATTTCTGAAAGACTTCTATTGATCATGTTTCTTTAAGAATCGTTTCATAGAACATTTGAGACTTAAATTCGTCTTTAAAATGCATATGATTTATTAAGTAGATTTTTTCAATCTCATCTGGATTAAGATGTATATGAATATTATCGATTGGTAAGATGGGAAGAAAAGATTCTTCCTTGTATTCAGATGATTGAATTAAGTCTTCACTTGTATTTGGATTGTTTTGATACAAGTATTTGAGATTGTTGTCCCTCCTAATCCTGTATAAAATCAATAAATCAGCCAAATAACCCAGTACGTTGAAGGAAAGGTAGAAATTCAATTCAGTCCTCTCCTTAGAATTTTCCTTAATCAAAACAGGAACCCAAGGTAGCCTCCAAGAATGTCCATTAGTTCTGAATCATTTAAGATGCCTGAGGTCCCTAGAATCTCTTTTTCCTATGTGCCACAGACATAAGCTAAAGATTGTGCAATTCTTAATGATTGGCTCAAAAAGAATTTACCAGAATGGGGAGAAGAACATACCAAAGCAATTCGAAAAATCAAGATAAAAGCTAAAGAATTACCATGCCTAGCAATCCTTCATCCTGAAGCTTTCAAAATAATAGAGACTGATGCTTCTGAAATAGGATTTTGAGGAATTCTAAAGCAAAAAATGCCAAATTCAACAAAAGAACAATTAGTTAGATTTATGTCTAAAAAAAAAATAATGCCAAAAAGAATTATTCTACAATAAAAAAGGAAATTCTATCTATTGTTTGTTGTGTCTTAAAGTTTGAAGATGATATTTTTAATCAAAATTTTTTCATTAGAACAGACTGTAAAGCAGCAAAAGCAGTAATAGAAAAAGATGTTAGAATACTTGTCTCAAAACAAATATTTGCCAGATGGCAAGCTATCCTAGCAACATTTGACTTCAACATTGAACATATCTCAGGTAATACAAATTCTTTACCAGATTTTTAACTTGAGAGTTTTTGCAGGGAATCCAGGGGAAAAACCCAAAGGAAATCCAACGGTGAAACCTCAAAGAGGAATACAGTTCTGAATGCTAAAAAACAGACCCTTACCATCGTCTATAATCAGGGTGTCAAACAAAAAATACCTTATCAGGACGATGATTGTGTCAATACACTAACATATACTATTGCCCTAAACTTCATAAGAGATACCTCTGTATGGAATGAAAGAACCAAAGAACTTTTGGAGAATCTCAAATGTCCTGATCTTTCTCATTACAGATGGTGCAAAGATGTTTTTATACCCAATTACTTACCAGAAATGATGCCAGAGATATATATTGGAAGTCTCAATTCTTGAATGAACTCCCAGCTCTATTTAGAAAACAAATTTAAGACCAAGCGCAAAAATGCTAATGGAATAAAAGAAATCCCCTATGAAAACTCCAGGCCAACTTGATAATGAGTTTTGTGCTACCAGAGAAAAAATTAAGACCAAGCTCAAAAATATTATTAAAGGAAAAAAAATATACGAGATCCATACTCCAAGCCAACTTGATAATGACATTTGTATTACCAGTTTGCTTGACAATGAAATTTGTGCTAACGAGATTTGTGTCACCCATTTGCTTGATAAAGAAATTTGTGCTATCGGTTTAAAATTTTACTACATTCCACGAAGACCACATAGCTCGCTACTCACGTGCACCTACCAACGTTGATGGCCAAGAATCACACACCATTTATATCATAAGAACTCCCATTAAAATTTCGATGTGGGATAATTCCCATTGTTTCACGAAGAATTTCAAAAGCTTCTTCAAAAAATCAAAGGCTTCTTTAAAGATTCTTTCAAACTTTGGAGGGCATAACAACGTCAATCGTGTTCGGCAAGGACCACATATCACACTCAACACAACACGTGAATCACAACACTCTTCACGCACCTGCCAGCGTACACGCGTTAATGAACTGCAACAACACACAAGTTATACCATCAAAATCTTTTTCAAAAGTTTGACGTGGGATAATTCCTGATGCGAATTTTATAAATAGCTCTCTCATATGTATAATGGTGTATATGTATAAAGTAAATTGCATATTTTATAAATAGCTCTCTCTCTCATACGTATAATGTATAAAGTAAATTACATACTTTATATGTATAAAATAAATTCCATACTATAAAGTAAATTACATACTTTATAAATAGCTCTCTCTCTAATATGTATAATTATGTATAAATTAAATATTTTATAAATAGATCTCTCTCTTATACAATGACATCTATCAAATGAAATAAGTTATAATTCTTTTTAAGATAAACTATATTTATTTATTTTTAAGATTTAAATTTTTTTAAGATTAATTATATATTTATTTCTTTTTTATGATGTACAAACATAAGTACATATAATATTTAGTAACATATAATTACAAAAATAAAATGCTATATAATAATTTACAAAAATTAACATAACCATACGAAATTGTTTGTTTACGTGAATAACTTAAATATAATTATGTCTAATTTATGTCAATATAATTATTTTTATATACACTAAATTATTTTTAAATTATATAGAAGTTTTTTCTAATATTTTTAAATTATTTATATTTTATTAAGCTATTTCCAAAAAAATCTAAATTTACATACCCAAATAAAACATATAAATTCTATTAGGCTATTATCTCACGAGATTATTTCATTATATGATTACTAATTAATTCAATAGTTAATTGAGATTAAAAATTAATACTAGCTCATAAGATATTAAAAATAATAATAATAATACTAATTCCAGTTTATTGAATATTTAAAAATATTTGTTTGGAGGATATTTTAATAGAGAAAAATAAAACTAACTCATTATACTACTTTAAAATTTATTTCTACATTCATAACCAAATATTTTATTTTATTTTATTTTAATTTATTTTAATTTATTTACATTATAAATTATATGATATACTATTTTTTCTTACAGTTACCAATAATACATTTTAAATTAAAAGATATTATAAGATATTTTGGATTTGTTATTATTTGTATAATAAAATAAACTATAAAATATAAACCAACAATTTTAACTTTAATATATAATATTATAATTGGTTAGATTGTATTAATTTTGGATTATAATTCGTTAGATTGTAATAATTTTGGGTTTTTTTTTAACGGATTAGAGTATTCCACCAATTCGAGATTTTGGTGACCATTGTTTCATCAATTTAATCCATTCTTTATTGTAGTCAATGTATGATTATATACTTCATTCATGATAATTCTATTATTTTTTTTTTGTATAATGTAAATTTAATGGTAAATATAAATTCATACAGAAAAGAACATCTCAATATTCGCATATTGATGAAAAAAATGAAAGTTAATAATGTAATACCCCCATTTCTTATTGGATTCCTAAAAAACAACATTTATAATGAATTTTAATAATTTTTTTAGATTTTTTTAAAGCTTAATCCGACCGAATCGGCCCATTTCTGATCCGAATCGCCAATTCACCGATTCGGATAGGTTTTTGAAGTGCCCAATCCGGGACACCGATCTGTTTTTTAAACCACTGCTTAGACGCATCCATACCATTCGGAAAAACCATGTACAAATGAACAGTATAAATTGTAAAGATAGGTGATGTTACTAATAAAGAAAGTGTAAAACTAGCCCCCTAATAATCAACAAATCACGCAAATATGAAATAAACAGATCCTCTATTTTTGTTGGATAGGTTACATTCTCAATTGTACTCCTAGCCTTTCCACAAACAAATCGTCCAAATCAAATGGGGAAAACTACACCTACAAAACACACAAAATACACAAACCATTTTTTTCAAAATCAGTGGCCGCTCAGGCACACTCACCTTGAAGAATTTTCGGGCCTTGTATCTACTATTACTTCTCGCTGTCCTCTCAGAGCCATCATAGGAACAAAAATAAATAACGATAGATACTGAAAAGAGGTCACATGGATGGGCTACGGCCCAAACCAAGCCCAATTGGCTTCATATTTGGAAACTGAGACACAAGTAACAGTTCAAGCTCATGCAAGCGTCAAGGAGTTCAGCCTGGATGCAATTTTTGCACTCTTGAAGTCTTCCCTCAACTGAATGAACCTGAATTTTTCATCATCCAAACAAACCACCCTCGTAACTAACCATATCATGCACGTGCTGTTAAGACTATGATTTTATTTGCATATCATAATCCATGGTACATGGTACTCGAAATTGGCATCCTCCATTCATTCCTGATCATGGATGATGGAGATTAATTGTACGAACGTGAAAGTCCTGGTCGTTCACTACAATTATTCTCCATTGCCTATCATGTAAAGGGACTGTGGATGTCCCTTTTGAAGTGCCACAAAACCAACTCGTTGGATAGTGGTACACTCCCTTGTCATGTTCTCTATATTTAATTATACACACCTGAAAGCGTCCCTCCGAATATTTGGGCTTCCCTCAAACAGGCTTGCAAGGCTATCAGGGGAGACAATGAAAACATTGGCCATGCTGGAAAATAAATTTATTTCAATATGAGCCAATAATCTTATCCCATCTAGAATGCAATAAAAACAAAATCAGAAACGTACATGCCCAGCAATTCAAACTTCTCGTCGACAGCAGGCGCATTGAAGCTACGAACAAATTCCCCATACTCTGTGATGTCACGCTTCAAACGAAGGCCACCACTGCAGAAATGATGAGGATTTTAGGGCACTACAAAACAATATTAGACAGTAAACATTAACCTTGTAACTGACACACCATGGTCAAGTTTTTATCGCTATTGTTATCATTAATTTTCCATTGCGATTTTCAGTTCATGGTTCTAACAATTGTGCAGTCGTGGGAAGAAGATGCTACAATAGCACAAGATTAGATTTTATAAAATTATTACAAGACAAATAGTCTATTCAATTATATGGCATACCGTTTACAGGTTTGCGATATTGAGATTTGTGAAAATAGAACAAACTATTAGAACAAAAGGTATAGCAAAAGACCTGGATTTTGTTTTCTGCTAAGTTCATAAAACACCTGGAATCCTACATTTATCAAATGCTCAAAACAGAACCATAAATAAAAGAAATCCATAATCAATTGGAATGATAGGCAACAGGTGTTTCATTTTTTTCATTTTTCAATTTAGACTTACAAAAAAAGCCACTACAGTTGTTTTGAATTGCACTGTGTGCTAGTGGCAATAGCAGGCTTGTTATTCTCATTCTTCTCAGAAACAACTCATATAGGCCATCATGTTCTATGAGAACTTTGTTTCAGAAGGGATTGATTTGCATAATGCTATGTTTGAAAAAGCAGCATGGAAACAAAACATGGCCCCTGACCCAGCCGAGCAACTCGGGCAGGCCTGAGTTGACTTGGCAGAGTTTGCTTTGAGGTGGTCAAGACCATGGAAAGATCCCAAAAATTTGGGGAAAATATTGGAAAAATCAGAAAAAAAAAATCATATACAACATGGAAAATGAAAAAATAAATTTCAATGAATATCTATGAATTTAAATTGAAAAAATGAAATTAAACTATAATTTAGAGGCCATCCTTTAATCTTTGTGCTTGATGAAAATCAATGCCTCTGATTTCGTCAAAGGTTCTGCAGATACCCCAAATTGATCTGAGGTCTTGAAATTTTTTGGTGAATAGTAAATCCGAAATAAAAAACTCACAAATCCAAGATTTTTTGCATTTTTTGCTGAGAAACAGGCCTATGGTTGAATGAAAAAACCCAGAAAGAGGCATGTGGAACGAATTTATTGAAGAGTGACCAACCGTTTCCAAGAAATGACAATTTTTTCAAATTGGCAAAACCTAGGTCGAAATCTCTGATCTCTAAAATCAATCATATATGATATTTTTGCTCAAAAACCTAGGGTGAATTTTGGGCTTTAAAAGGACAAGCCTATGGTCAAAAACGAAAAAATACACCCCCCTAGTTGGGAGGTGTTCCGAACTTGGCACAACGACTTGGGCATGTCCAGGTCGACTCACCTGATTCAGCAACACTGGCATTTTCTACCAGTGGTGTTCAATTGCAAAATATACAAATGATATTAATGTGCTTCTTCTGTCTCCTAAACAAGCACAATTCCTAACTAACAAAGCAAGTGTCATTAATGAAAGGAACCAAGTTAAATTTAGTGATACCCCACACAAAGATATACACTGGCAATAAAACTGGATGATAATTGATGCAAGTCAACATGAGATCCAGAAGTCCAACTTGGATACTAATTCCCATAAACTTTGAATTGGGGGAAAGAGAGTGCCAATGACAGTTAATTTCCAAAATTGGGAGGGAGACTATACTTTGGAACTTACGGGTTTTTCATAGGAAATTGAATAGTTTTTAAAGAGCATTGAAAATGTGAAAACAACATGCATAAAAGGGTTAGGGTGTGCCATTTTGAACTCAGATTATGTAACATTCTTTTAAAAATACAGCAGTTTGCTTGAAGCTTTTGGTAGAGTATGGCTCCCACCCATTTTTCTCTCTCTACATTCTCTCTTTGTGTATATTTCTCTCACCAAGTTGTCGTACCTCCATAGTTTAGCCGCATCATTTGCTATCAGAGCCTGAGTCCAGCCTTGGGCAGGGTGTTGTCTCCATTTACACATCATTTTCCATGGCGGCAAGAAGGAGGAGAGGTGGTCGTGGCAACTATGGAGTGCACAATGCTAGAGATGAAGAATTGGAGGCACTTCGTAGGCAAGTGGAACAGTTCACCTTGCGACTCGAGCGTCAAGAAGCTTGTAGCAAACCCAAACTCAGCCATGAATACTCAAGTGGTGAGTCGGATGTTAATCCTTTTGCTAACTAGTGTCGACAAAAGGATGACCGTGAAACCAGGCCCGTGCTCGTGAGGGATTCCATCAAACTTGAATTACCAGAGTTCCACGGCCAGCTACACCCGAAAGAGTTTCTTGATTGGCTGAGAGCCATTGAGGAGTACTTTGATTACAAGGAAACAAGGGAGAAGCTCCGTATGAAGCTCGATGCAACTAGGCTTGGCAGATATGCTTCGGCATGGTGGGACAAAGTCCAGCAGATGCGCCAATGAAAAGGAAAGCCTAAGATTTCATCTTGGGAGAAATTCCTACCGGTTGATTACACTCGAATGTTATTTTCACAATTCAATAGTCTTTGACAAGAAACAAAGAATGTAGATGAATACACCGAGGAGTTTTACAAACTAATGGCGCGAAATGACATCCAAGAAACTAAGGAACAACTTGTTTCAAGGTATGTTGGTGGATTGCGGTTGGTGATCCATGATGAAGTAGAGATGCACCGGTTATGGAAGATCCACGACGCCTATCAACTAGCTTCGAAGGTTGAGGCAAAACTTTCCTGTGGTGGTGCATGGAAGTATGCCGAGGTATGTAGTTTCTACCCACCTTCAAAGATGAAACTTCTAAAAGAGGAAACAACAGTAAGGATCTTCCAAAGAACTCCAAAACTAGCCAAGGTGGGTCGGCCCAAGTGGGAAGGCAGTTGAGGCAAGTTAACCGGCCTCTTACTTGCTTCAAATGTGGCCAAACTGGACACACAGTGTCCCCGGTAACAAGTTGACTCTCGTGTCAACATTGTGGAAGAGAGAGATGAGCAAGAGTTTGTAGATGATATTGTAGAACCCATCTATGAAGATGAGACAAATTTGGTGCAGGAAGAGATAGAACCCAAGGCTGGAGAGAGCTTGGTGATTCGTCGAGTTTTAACCACTCCAAAGGAGGACTCCAACACGAATTAGTTGAGATTCAATATCTTCAAAACTCGTTGCAAATCAGATGGCAAGGTGTGTGATGGAGGAAATTGTGAGAATATTGTCTCGCAAGAAATGGTGGACAAACTCAAGCTGAAAATTGAACCGCACCCAAGACCCTATCGAATTGCATGGCTCAAGAAAGGAAATGAGATAAAAGTGACTAAACGCTGCTTAGTTTCTTTTTCATTAGGTAAAAATTACAAAGATGAAGTTTGGTGTGATGTTGTTCCTATGGACATGTCACATACTTCTTGGGAGGCCATGTCAATTTGATAGGCAAGTCATACATGATGGCCGCAAAAACACCTACACGTTCCAGATCGGTAATGTGGAGATCGTGCTCTTGCCTAGCAAGGAAGAGAATGCACCCAAATCTATCCAAGAGGAATGTAGTAACTTCCTTACCTTGTCTAAGCTTGTGAAAGAAAGTGATGATAGTGGAGTCACATTCGCATTGGTTGTAGAAGAAGAGGTGACACCCACAAGTGTACCTAGTGAGTTGAAACCCTTTTTGGACAAGTTCAAGGACATCAACCCTGATGATCTACCAAATGGACTATCCCCATAAAGGGATATTCAACATCAAATTGATTTGTTACCCGGTGCTAACTTTCCGAACAAAGCTCACTACTGTATGAGCACAAAAGAGCATGAGAAACTTGATGCAGATCAAGATTGGGTCGATTAAAATAATATTTTTTATTTTTGTTATTTTTAATTGTAGAAGTCATGGGATTTTTTTTAGTTTACTAGGATCAATTTTTAGAAATAGGATTTAGTAGGGGTTTGTTTAGTTTTGCTTGATAAATTATATTTTAGGGAAGATGTCCATATTTTATTTTGGCAAGTCAATCTAAGAGGTTTGCTTCCTAAAGTCGTTATATATTTTGAGAGTCCATTGTAACAAATCTTGGAACAAATCGTTTAGTGGTTTGCTTCCTAAGATTGAGGTTCGTAGATTTCTTTTCGGAGGAAGGGTATGCTCTTTTGTTGAGTATGGGTTTTTGGTAAGGGTTGAAGTTCACATGATATAGTCTTGTAAGTATTAGATAGGGTTGAAGTCACGTGATGGTCTTATTAGTAAGTATTAGGATATTAGATAGAGTTGCATTCTATTAGTTCTTTTTAGAACTTTTAGAAAAAAAAAAGGGGACGTATCTTTATGTGGTATGTGGCTAGGCGTTGTCTTAGTAAAGGTTTGAGTTTATAAAAGGTGGATCATACAATGTAAACATATTGTTAATAAAAAAATTGATATTTTCAGATCGTGTAGAGAGAGAGGCCCTTTGTGGGTATTTTCTTCCCTCTAGTGTGTATGGGCCAATGCCGGAATACTTGAATCCACACGTTTTGTTCTTTTTGTTTGTGATTTCCTTCATGATTTTTATTTCTCTCTTAAACAAGGTTATTTTAGCCGGTATTGTTTCCGACAAATTTTATATCGTGTCAGGTGATATCAGAGCGTAGTCGATTTTTGTGATCGTGGTGTTCATCGATAGGGTATCATGGCTCGTGGACAAGGTCTATTGGCCAGGTATCGGGACTCAACCCATCCAACGGGAGCAAAAAGTCCGAGCTCTACGAGAGAGAGAGCAAAATATTGAGAAGGCAAGTAAAAGAGTTGACCCTGCGCTTGGCGCAAAAACTAGCCCCGACAAACTATGATCACGATAGTAAGTCGGATGCTATTTTCGAGAGCCCGTTCCATGCTCTAATTCCTCATGGTCGAGTGTGATCTAGTTAGGTTTGATGAAGAACCAGTAAGTTTGGATCTTCAATTGAACTTATCATTCCAAAGTGATCTCATCTTTGATGAAGGTCCTATTTGTGATCTCATTTTTTATGAAGATCCTATATTTGATGAAGAGCAAGATGAAAGTGATCTAATCTTTGATGAAGAGAAACAG